TCTACCCCCCGATTCACTCCCCAACGGTGCACAACAGCCAGGCTGGACCAGGCCAAAGCCTAGTGCAGGGACCCAGATACTTGACCCATTGCTTGTTGCCTCCCAAGGTGCAGGAAGCTGGATTGAAGAAAGGAGCTTGGACCCAAATCCAGCCGTTCCAGTATAAGACTCAGGCAACTGCTGCACCAAACACTATCCCCGAGCAGGGATAAAAGCAGAAAGGATGTGGTCAGATTCGGGGCTGGGAGAGTTCCCATTGGCCAACAAGAAGATGAAGTGACTAGGAGATTACAGGTGCAGGGAGGCTGGGGCACAGCAGGAAAGCAACGCTGGTGGCCCAGAGAGGGGTGCAAGGCAGCAGGATGGGAAGCAAGGACAGGTTGGAGAGATTCCTTGTGATTGGAATGGCAGGTGGGGCCAGGAACTAGTTATTGTCTCCAGGCTTCTTGGAAATGTCCCTCTTCCCCAACCGGCCCCCAGGGGGCAGTGTTGCAAAGCCTTCGAGGGAGCTGAAGCCCCAATTCCAAATTACCCACAGCCAGAAGCAGATGCTGGCTCCAGCCCCACCCCCAATCCACACCTCACTGCCACCCCCACCTCATCTCCCCTCCCAGCCTGTACTGCCCCAACTCCTCCCCCGCCGTGTTCTCTCTCCAAGGAGACAAATTATTAATAACTACAATCCCACACCTGACACTTTACAAATGCATGGTTCATCCATTAGCTCCTGTGGTCTTCCAGAGACAAGGACAGGGCGGAATAAAACCCTTCCCCCAACCACCTCCTTCTCCCAGGACCATTTTATAAGAATGAAACTGAGGTACCAGCAGGGGAGAGCTAGGGCCGAGGTTGCAGGCTAGCCAGTATCCAGTCTAGAGCCCTGTGAGAAGCACGGATCACAACAGCTGCTTTGTTTATTCAGTTTGTTAATCTATCTGGAAGGCAGAATGAGAGGGAAAGAAAGAGTGCTCAATCTTCCATCTATTTGTTCGCTTCCAAATGGTTGCAAACAACCAGGGCTAGGCCGATTCTGAAGCCAGAAGCCTGGAACTCTATCCAGGTCCTCCATTTCACTGCTTTCCCAGACACATTGGCAAGGAGATGGATCAGAAATGGAGCAGCTTGGACTCGAATTAGAGCCTGTGTGGGATACTGACATTGCATATTTTGGGGCTCAACCTGCTGAACCACAACCCCAGCCCTTACATAGCTGCTAACAGTGATCCTCCAGCTAGAGAGCCTCTCCCACCCTCTGGCCCATATTCCCTGGGGATGACCATGGCAGGGGCGGAGCACTGACCTGCCATGCGCCTGCCACGCACTCTGCTCCTTCCTCATCCTCTTCTTGCAGAATCACAAGACACCTCATGATCACCATCATTACCATATTGATAATGGCCTATGTCTGTGTAGCTCACAGAATTTAAAAAGCAGGGGTGCCTCCATCAGCTCATTCGAGTGTTTAACAACTCTGGGTGAGCATTTTGCTGATAAGGAGGATGGTGGTGGGAGGAGAGGCTCTCTGAGCAGCCACAGAGAGTACAGCAGCAATGTGGCTGGTATAAGACTGGGCAGGCCAAAAGAGCTAACTGACACCCCATACCCCTGAGCCCAGCAAGGGGGAAACTCCTGGATTCCCGGCAGGATAGGGCCTGATCCTCATCCATCATCCAGGGAAATGGGAGCCTGATGGGATGGGAGCACTTACAGGGACCCCCCATGGACACCTCATTCTCCATGCTTCAATTTCCCAATCTGAAGGCTCTATGCTGACCTATGGAGGACCCCGCATCTCTGTAAGTCACGTGATCCATCTGAGTGGTAGTGTCCTCACTGGGAAGGTATGGCTCTGAGCAGAGAGAAGTTACCAGGCATAGAAGCATCTCTGTGTGTGTGTGTGTGTGTGTGTGTGTGTGTGTGTGTGTGTGTGTGTGTGTGTGTGTGTGAGGAGGGTGATCTGGCCTCAGGACAACACCCAGGGGGAGGGCAGCCCCAGACTAGGAGTGAGGCCTTTGCTGTCTGCCTAGCCAGGGCTCAATTATAGATATCCGCTGCCTGGCAGCCAGGCCAGAGGGAAGTGGGAGCGAAGGCGCTGACAGGGCACATTGCAGCCTTTTTTGGGAAGGAGTCTGTAACCACGGCCACTCTTCCCCTCTCCTCCCTGCCCCCGCCTTGATGGTGCTCACACAGGGATCCTAAAGCCCGAAGGTGAGACTATCAGGAACCATCTCCATTTAACAGATGGAAAAACTGAAGCCCAACAAGATAGGAGATGTGGTTCAAGTCTTGTTGCAAGGCTGGGACCACAGAATTGAGATCTCGGCCCTGGCATTGTTGTACAGAGGGGTAAACGGCCACCTGCAACAGTGGCATCCTGCAAAAGCACCCGTTTGAGTTCCAGGTGTTTTGCTTCCCATCCAGCTCCTTGCTAATGTGCCTGAGACTGCAGCCCAAGGTATCCCAACTCCTTGGGCTTCCACACCCACATGGGAGACCTAAATGAAGTTCCAGGTTCCTAGCTTCTGTCTGGCCTGGCTCTGGCTATTAGAGCTGTGTTCAGGAGTAAACCAGTAGTTAGGAGATCTTTCTATAAATATCTCCCCCGTCTCTTCTTTGTCTTTCAAATAAATAAGTCTTTTAAAAAATAGATACAATTATTCCTCTTGTTTACAAAACCATAATTCCCTGACTGGGGTTAACTTGAAGCAGAGAAGGGTCTAGGTTCAGCACATAGCCCAGGCTTCCAAGTAGCAGCAGCTTAACCTTAGCCACATGTGTCAATGGCACAGGACCCTGGGAGCTGTAGAACACTGCAAATTGTGTAGAGCTTTGCCGGTGACCTGAGACTCTAAATAAGGCATCAGGTTTGGCAAACTCTGGAACTCTGCAGGTGCTGCTGGATCCACATACATCATGGAGCTCTGGAAGATGCGTAACAGGGAGCACAGCCAGCAACACACTGGCAAGCGGCAAAGCCCTGTGCAACCCATGCGTGTGGGCCAGAGCCTGGGCTATCCACAGGGGGTTAGGGAGGAGGCTTCGCTGCAGGGTTAGTGTGGGAGCTTGTCTGTGGACCTTATAGTCCCAGAGGATCCTGAGTGACTTATTTACTCTTCCCCCAGGTCCACAGCTTTGAGCTCAGGACTGTCCCCAGAAGGCAATACATGAAAACCACTCAATCCTGCGGGAACTGCATGTGTTTTGTCCTGTGGGTCATGGGCAGTATTGTACCCAGCTATCGGAAAGATGAACCTAGGCAGCCATTCTGGTCCCAGAACAATACCCAGACTCTTCACACAGCCTGTGGGGCCAAAGTTTCCAGCAAAGTCTCAAGGGACCGTCTTACACTCAACAGTTGGAGTTTCTAACGTTCCATGTCTGCCAACTCTTGGAGGGTTCACAGAGCTGACCTCAGGCTGCAGAATGTAGAGACAGATCAAGTTTGGTTTTTTCAAGCAGTATCAGGGTCTGGGGTCTATCAATCCCAGCCAACTGCTGGCCTCTCCCAAGACAGCGGTCAATTCTCTCTGTTGAGTGCCTACTCGGTACCTGGTAGATCTGTGATTATTTTGGACATCCTCTACTTGTGATTCACATGTTTATACAACCCTTAGGAGCCAAAGGTGATTAATGAATGTTTATCCTAGTACCCCAAACCCCATACATTCATTCAATGCAAAGGTCCTGTTCCTAGAACAGGGACTGGACTTAGAGAAACGCAGATATGTTCTTCCAAGGGGAGAGCTTGGGCAAAGGGAAAAACTTGCTTTCTAGCATCAGAGGTTGTCCAGGCCATGGCCCTACCACCTGCTAGCCAGATGACGTCCAGCAAGTTGCTGAGTCTTATTCCTCATCTGTGAAACATAGGGAGAGTCTCCCAGAGCCTCTGGTGTGAACACGCTGTGCGAATTGGGAAAGCAAAAAGGGGTCTGTTTTCTCTGGCTGTCTGCTCCCTGCCACTCCCTTCTCTGAGTTCCAGGCCTCCGGGCGTGGCGTCTTTCTCTATCATCAAACTCCCACAGAGGCTCTGCCAGCAAGGAACATTGTCTGCGCTTCACACAACTGAGAGGGCTGCCACTCAGGGAGGTGTGGAGACTTGTCCAAGACTGCTCAAATGACCAGCACATGATGGCTTGGCTGGCCCCCTGATCTAGCTTGTTCCAAGGTTTTTGTGCTCAGCCTTCATGTCAGAAAACTGCTCATCTCATGGTGGCCCTGTTGCTCCCCAGCCTAACATGGATGGCTATGAATGACCAGGCTTCTACCGTGAATGTTTGGACAGATCCCGTCAGAATTCCCAGTGAGCAAAGTCCTCTCCACCTTATAGCTCAGAGGGCAGGTGGGAGTAGGAGTGGAGGAGGGGGGCATGTGAAAAGATTAGGGTTTGTGCGAACAAAAGACAATGACTCAGAAAGGGATAAATGTTCCCTATAGGGCTCAGAGGCTTGTTGGAAAAGGGGAACGGGGGAGGGGGCAGATAGGCCCATGGATAGTCCCCCCACATTCATTCCTCAGTGCTAACACATCAGGAGGAACTTTTCCAAGTGAGAGGCCTAGAATGAAGCTGGAAAGAAAAGAGCTGAGTCTAAGCCATGGGGGGAAGAGCCCATTGCTCCTCCTAGCTGGGGGCAGGACCTAACCAAACCCCACCTCTTAACAAATAATCCCAGACTGTCCCAACCACAAAGCACAAGAGTCCAGACAGCCAGGATTCACAGAGAGAAGAGTCAAGAGAGCCAGGGTGCACAGAGACACAGGAGCAAGTCTCCCAGGGGCACGGCTGCTTCCAGAATGGGCTGGGTCTGAGCAGGACTCCCTAACCCACAGTGGCTCCCAGATAAAACTGCGGGACCCCAGAAGGATCACCCAGTGCCTAAGATTCCTGCTGTGGGTGCATCAGCTACAGTCTCAAGAACCCCTGGTGAGGCTCACTTCCTCCCTGCTAAGCTCCAGGTCCTGAGATCGTCTCGCAGGCTGGAACGCACATCACCCCAGCCATCATGGAACCTAGGATAGGTATGCGGGGACAAAGTGGGGAGGGAGCATTGGGACGGAAAGTGAAGCAGCTGATGTGCAGTGAGAAGGGAGAGGACTGCAATGGTGGGATGGGTGTTGGGTCCGGCTCTGCTCCCCAGCTATCTGCACGTGATAGAACCAGGCACATGGCCAGGAGGCAATGGAGGTGTGCTTAGGGAGGGGATTGTGGCAGGGGCAGGAAGGGACCTGTTTATTCAGCTGGAGGCAGGGAACCCAGCCAGCCTGCCTTGAGGAGATGGGAAAGACAGGCTCATTGGCCCCTCATCATGTCCTGCTCAGCTTTTCCAGGGGTGACAAAAAGGGAGAGGAAGCAGAGGACAGAAAGAGAGAGGAGTATGGTCAGAGAGTAGACAGACATTCAAAGAGGGCAGAGGCCATGCTAAGCGGACCAGGATGAGCAGTGGCAAGGAAAGGGTAGGAAAGCAACCCTGCAGAGGGAAACATCAGCATGCCTGAACAGAAGGCAGACAGGGGAACCTCTAGGCAGAGGACCCCAGGAGGTGTGCCCAGCAGGAAAGCTGGTGCTCAGAAAGATCTGCAAGAACCTACCTGGATTGGCACTGGCTGGGAGGAAGCCAGAAGGTAAGCCAGCTTCAGTGAGTGACAAGAAAGCGGTGGTGTAGCACTGTGGTGATTTTGGAACGTAGCAACCAGGCGAGCATTTACCAGGCAGGGACAGGCCTCGGGAGGGGCATCTGCTGCCCTCCCCCTCCCCCGCTCCATCTTATTCCTTGTGAGCCTCACACCTTCTCAGGCAGGGCCACACTCCATCGCAGGTGCCCCACAGACAGGCTGGGCTAAAGGATAGCCATGGACTCCATGGCATGGTGCGAAGTTTATAACTGGCAGGAAGGGCTAGGTGGATGCTTCCTCCCAGGAGACCTCCTATGAGAATGAGGTCAGATCTGGGAAGGTTGCTTGGTTGGGGGTTGAGAGTGGGCTCTTGACCACTGGTTGGGTGTGGAGGGAAGGCTGGTGTGTGCTGAGCGGAAGGCACAGCGGGACTACTCCATGCCCTGCCACCCCCCCCCCATGTTTACTGACCTAACTCTGATCCAAATCCTTTGGCCTCTACTTCACCACACCCCACCCCCCACCACCCTGCCATTCCACACATGTGTGTACAAGTGCACACATGTGCATACCTGCACGCATGCACATGCTTGCAGAAGGGAACAGGCCCCAGTGTCTCCTCTAGGTCACCCAAAGCACTTGTATACCCTGCTTCCTGAGCCCTGTGAACACCTTGGCTAGGCTAAAGGGGGCACTGAAGGTTGTGAAAACATGGGTAGGACAGGACACCACAGGAACAGGGCCAGCTACTCAAGCCAGGGGCACACACCAGAGGGACAAGGCTCAGATGTGACTTCCAAAGAGTTGCAGCATGGCTGCTTGCCACGAGCAGCCCAGTGACCTATCCCAGGCTGCACAGCCAGGTACTGCAGAGTTAGGCTCAAACTCAAGCTAACATGAAAGGCAAGACCTTCACTAGGCTTCTGACAAGTCTTGCAGGCTGGGGCTGCTGAACATGGGCCAAGAGCCGAGAGCTGCAGGGAGCCAGTTCAGGCCATGTCCAGACCCCAGGATCCAGGGAGCCGGTGCAGCTTAGGCCCAGTATTTGGAAGCTGGATCTTCTCAAGCGCTGGAGACACTAGAGGGAGGGAACCAGGGAACCTTGCAAGAAAGCAGCCACATGGAGGAGAAAACAGCATGGCTTTGGGGGCTGCTTAGGACAGTGGCTTCCTGGGAATTCTGGGGACACCATCCCCCATGCTCTAGTGTCTGTGACTAGGGTCATTATGGGTCTAGAGGAGATAGTGGGGGCCAGAACTGGGAACAGAAAGTCCCAGCACAGGGTCCATGACCCAGCTTGGAAACCACCAGCCAGGGTCTGGCCCTTCCCCCATGCTGGGTGCTCCCACCTCCATGAGCAGCAGCTGGGAGGCCACTTCAGCTGCCTCACGACCACCCAAGGGCTCAGCTAGAAGGAATTTCCCAAAAATGACAGCCAAGTCCACAGCCCAGACCTCCTGCCTCCCTGACTTTGACATTGTCTCCAAGATGCAGGGCTGTTCCCCCTGGGAACCTGGGCTCAGAGGGCCTGCCCTGTCACTCCCATGTCACAGCCCTGCTCTAGCCTTCAGCCTTGCTCCCTCCTTCAGCTTAGCTCAGCAAATATATCTGTGATCTGGTCAGGCCTTAAAAGCTGACAAGTGGCTTGCAAGGATGAGTGGCTGTGGCACAACCTGGCAAAGGCTTAGCAGTGCCAAGGGACATGAGGATATGAAGAATGGCAATAATCTATTGGGGCCAGAAAACAAGGTTCAGGGGTGTGGGTGCCTGCCAGAGGAATGGCTTCCAGAGCCTGGCTCCCTGTGCATTGAGACACCTGCATATGCTGTGTCGTACTTGTCCTGGATCCCACCAGCCTGTCCTGGTTGAACCTGTCTGTCCTGTGTTACAAAGGGGGCAAGAGGACAGGAGGAGCTCACCACTGCCAAGGACTCTGGTGTGCTGGGCTTCCCCTGCAGTCCCCCCAGCAAGGCTCTGGGACAGGCACTCTTCCCAACACAGAAGGAAATTGAGGCTGGGAGGGCAAAGAGCACTGCCTGAGGACATACAGCTTCAGTGTAGCAGATCAAATATTTCACTCCAAAGTCTTTTGACTGACCCCAAGGGTTTTAGCAGAGGACTGGGCTATGGCATCTGTCAGGAGGACAAGGCCACAAGCTGCCACAGGAGAGATGCCTGCCTCCTCTAGCAAAAAAGGGAGAAATTAACCATTCCAGGGTTTATTGTCAGAGCAACCTGTGCTGCCGAGGGCTGTGGGAGCCAGGCAGAGGGGCTAGAGGGACATGAGATCCAGGGCAATGCAGGAGGCAGGGTCCACACTGCCTACCCCGTGAGGAAGCTGACCCCACTGTCCCTAACCCCCCTCTGAACACTGATGCCTACCCTCACCAGGGCTGTTGACCCACTGTTGCTGCCGGGCCTTGATCTTGCTCCATCTCAGCTAGTGGAAAGCCTCATGACGTATCCACTGGCATGCTCCCTAGATGGGTTCTTCTTCAGTTGGGGCACATGGGTGCTGGCATCTTACTCTTGCTGAGCAGGTGTGGCCACTGTGGCTTCCTCAGCCTCCTGTCCATCCACGGCCCTCAGCCATCCCCTTGTGACACAGCCAGTCATCCCTGCAAGCCACTTGTCAGCTTTCAAGGCCTGCCCAGATCAGAGATATGTTTGCTGAGCTGAGCTAAGCTAAAGGAGGGAGCAAGGCTAAAAGCTGGAGCAGAGCTGTGACATGGGAGCTGCAGGGGGGCAGGCCCTCTGAGCCTGCACCCCGTGTCCTCTCTCCTACAGCTCCTGAACGTCTCCCTTGGGTGCTTCTCTACCACCCAAATTCACCAGAGCCAGCGATGAGCACCCTGTGAGCCTGGCTCCCAATGATGAAGGTTCAAACCCCAACATCGTTCCCTACTTCCCCAGTGTCCCCCTGCCAGGCCCTGTCTACCCTCTTCACTGTGGGAATGTCTAGTCTTCACTCCAGCATGTCCCTGCCTCTAGCCTGGCCTCTCCACCTTCCCACACAGTCAGAGATTACGGAGCGTGAGATTGGCAGTCAAGGTGGGTCCCCCAGCTGCTCTAATCCCTCCAGTCCCTCAGTGTGCCAGCCTTGCCTCTTCTCTTTCCTCCAAGGTTTTTTCCTTTTGGATGCATTCCAGAATTTTCCATTATCAGCAAGGGCTTCTCTGCTGTGCCTCTGTAGCCTTGACACACCCTGGGCTGCAGCTCCAAGCACCTGTCAAAGATTATGAGGGGTCACACATGCACTGGGGGCTCCCTGAGGGCTGACACAGGGCTACACCTGTCTCTGGTCCCCAGTGGCCTGGCTTAAGGAGTGAATCTGCCTTCAGAGCTTTAGCTCTGTCCCCACCACACTCCCTAACCCTATCTCCTCACCCCTTGAAAGTGGGTAGCCAGGCCCTAACCAGTGGTCATCTCACATCTGGAGGCCACAGATGGCGAGGTCTATGGGCAGATGACAAGACCCCTCCTGTTTGGAGTGAACAGGTGGTCATGCCCAAGGATGTTCCTCCAAGACAAACTGCCACATATAGGCCCAGCTGAGTGTGGCTGTATCGAATTATTGGGGGGTAGAGGAACTCAGTGTTGCCAGATCTGCTGATCTGAAGTTTTCATGTGGGATTTCCTGGTTCTTAAATGCTGGCAACTGACTTGAAAACACTCTGGGAGCCGGCATTGTGCAAACCCCAGAAAAACAAGCCTGAGGGCCACATGTGCTTTTTAGGGTGCCTGCCAGAGTACACCACCCCCACTCAACCAGGGAGGGGGCCTGATCTCCATGGGGAGCTTCTACCTATGTTCTGTCCCTAGCAAAATGAGGCTGGGATTGGGGGTGGGCAATGACATCAAGAGCTGGAGCGGGGAAGGCTTTTTTTCTTCAACACAGGAAAGTTAGGAAAAAACAAAAAGCCTTGGAATGCAACTGGACTGGGAAGGGACAGAGTAGTGGGGGAAGGATGAGGAAATGCAGAGGGAGGTGGACTAAGGGGTCAGCCCGCTGCTCCCAAGACGAGGGTAAACATGAGAGAAACACTGGGCTGTGTCTCCCACAGGAAGGAAGAGAAGTTATTTTTGAGGCCAGGTGACCAAGTCTGGAAATAGACTCCATGGTGAGTTTAGGGTGAAAGCTGACAAAGTTGGTGTTTGGGTCACCTTGACATTGACCAAGGACCTTCTCTAGATGACCTCCTTGCAGGCACCTCGCTGCTGCTTTCACAGACTCACAGGATCTACTTGCTAGCCCAGGAGCATGCCAGGTGCCGGGGCTTGCTCTCCATAGAGTGACAGATTGGAAGAAAATATCACACCTCATCTCTCTCAGGTCATTTTCCTGCAGAGATCGGCCTGGAGTGAACACCAAGGATGAGAGCTTTCCCTGGGCTTGGGCACAGCCTCTCCAGAAGTTTAAATCTAGGTGTAGCTTCTGAGTGCTGGACTATCACACGCAGCTCTCCCGACCGCAGGCCACACGTCCTTTTGCCAGGTTTTTTTTCCCAGCCCTACCTGACAGCACCCTCTCAGTGTCAGCCAGCCAGGAACATAACGACCGCTTGATAGTCACTGTCTCTGCCACCACACAAGGGGGCAGAAGGGCCCTGTGATTGTCTCTGCATTTGTCCAAGGGCTGTCATTGCAGCCCAGCCACCTTCTCGTGTCTGTCACAGGGGGACCTAGAGTCAGACTTTGCCATTTGCCAATGATGTCACCACTTGCCCATTTGTCCCAGATAAGTCACCGCCTGCCTCTCTGCACCCTTTTGCTCACTTGTGATGTGGGATCTCAGCAGCACCCCCAAAGAGTGCTATGAGGAAAGGCACATGGGCCCAGCCTGGCCCCAGCTCACAGTGATGCCCCAGGGTGAGCTCCTGAACCTGACCACTTCCCTAGGGATGCAGGGAGCCTGAGGACCCTGCCTCACAGCCAGGGCTGTGGTTGATTTTCTTCCCCCTCTCCCAGCTTCCCCCACCTCCCACCCCCACTGTTAACTTTGACCCGAGACTCTGGTTCTGAATGTGGCAACACTTGTTGCTGCCACAAAGCAAATAAGAAGGCAGGTGAGTGGTCCTGGCAAAGGTCAGATGGCCAACAGGATGGGCTGACTGCCTAATGGGTGAGAGGGCCACACTAAGTGGAGCCTTGGCCATGTGTCCCATTAATGTTTGCTCCCTAGCTTCAACCTGTACAACCTGTTGATGAGGCTAAGCTTGTTATTTGGCTTGTCACAATAAGGGACAACACCACTACTCACAGCTTTAATGCTTCTGGAAAAGGAAAAAAAGGTATTGAAGAGAGTGGAGTTGCAGGGGTCATGTAAATATCAGTTTTAGGTTTTTCCTGCCCAGGCTGAATGCAGGGTGGATGGTTTGCCTCCTCAGTAGATGCTTTCGAGGCCACTAAACTAAAGCTACAGAGTAGGCCTGCAGATGGGGACTTCAAACCTGGGTCATTGCTGCCAAAGTGAGAGAGAGCACATTTTCAATGCCCCTGCCTCGTGGCTGACTGAGCTGGGCTGAGAGGGGAGACATGAGGCAGAGATGACCAGGGTGATGTCAGGATACAGGTAACAGGTTGTAGGACAACCAGGTGTATGTGCCTAGAAGGGGATGAAAAATGGGTCTTGCAGCCTCAAGGTCTTGAAGGTCTTGAAGGTCTTGAAGACATATCAGGAAAATAGTGGGAACTGGCCCTTGATATGTGTGTGTGATGGGGAGGAGGTCGGAGGGTCCACTGTGTGCCATGCCCTGGGCTGGTGTCCCTCATTGTGCTCACCTTGCATCAGGGAGAAGAGGTGTCCTCTTGTCCTCTGCAATGCCAAGTTCACAACGAAGGCACCTGTGACAAAAGGCAGGTGCACAGAGAAGAGTGTGCTTCTCTACCACAACACATAAGCCTCCAGCCTTAGCACATGTGGAAACAGGGAGCCTGTGTGTGGCTGGTCCAGTGTGCGAGGCAGAAGCCAGGAATCTGGTCATACAATAATAACACAGGGAAATTCTGCAGGGCTTGTTCACTGTCATTCCTTTCTCATCAAACACAGAGAGGGCAGCCCTCGTGGTGGTGGTAGTGGGCCCTGGTACAGCCAGCCGGTGCGGGGGAAGGGCTGCAGCAGGTTGCAGAGTAACTTCCAAGGCTTCATGACCTGCTGCTGCTCTTTGCCAATTGTTCAGAATTTGAGGGTCCTGGACCTCAACGGTAGGCAGCATCACCATTGCCTTGCAGGTTAGGAGGCTGAGACTCCGATAGATTGAGGCTTTGGGCGGAGCTGGGATGCCAAGCTAGGGCAGAGCGTCCAGTCGTGGCAAGCTCTCTGTTGCCCTGGGGTTTGCCTTTGGCAACTGATGACCCTCCCTCTCCTCCCTACCCCCAGCCCCAGACTCAGCTGGACTGCAAAACTGAGATTCCTGAGCAGGAAAGGGGGAGCCTGTAGTAGGAGGTGCTGCCAGTGCCGGCTCCCTAAACCAGAGGTGCAGGGTGGGGAGGGAAAGGGAAGTGTCTTTGTCCCCTAGAGGAGGAATTCAGGGAACTGGGGAACTCAGGGAAGCAGGCCCCAGAAGAGAGCAGTTGAGAGCTTGGGAGGTTGTGACTATGGGGCACAGACAGGCCCCAGCCTGGGCTTTTGTTGGACTGACCCTGCAAGTTCTGGGGACTGTGGAAGAGAACAGTGTGTGAAGTTGAACTTAACCCCTGGGGTGGAGGCTGAGTGCCAGGATGACCCAACAGAGCTGGGGCTCCAGGAATGGGTATTCTAATCAGAAACAAGGCCCCAAGAAAGCACAGATGGGTATGGAGCTGTGGAAACACGGCCCATGAGGCCCAGAACCCAGATGCCAACAGGTAACCTGAAGCTGCTTAGGAGGGGAAGCCACACCCAGCCTCCCCCAGGGGTGAGGATGGGAGGTGGAGAGGGTGTTTGTGCTTTGAGCCACTCTCACTCCTCTATTGCTGCCAGGGACCCTTCCCCAGGTCAACTCTTTCCCTGGGGTGGTCAGGTGTCCATTTTGTTTTCATATTTTCCTGTTTCCTCTGAGAACCCTTCCCCCCCCAAAAGGGACTCTCCCCAGACTTACACACACTTCCACTTCCTCAGTCATATTCCTTAAGGTGCCTAGATAGACATGTCGCCAATGTTCAAGCTCGTGGGTCCATGGGGAGTGCTGCATCAAAGCACCCTCTCACACTGCGCCTGCTGGGCTGCTGCTGATTGGAAAGACAACAACGAGTATTAGCAGAGAGGCAGGGCAATCAGGATTCAACATGGCGCAGCACTGTAGAAAACAGTTTGACAGTTCCTCAGTGAGCTCAACCGAGAGTTGCCCTGTGACACAGCAACTCTACGCCCACAAAGGCACCCGAGAGAAGTGACAGTGTTTGTAAAACATTCACGCTCCTTCATGGGGTTCACAAAATCGCAAACAACCCAGACCTCCATCTATCCCGAACAGATAAGCTGACCTCACAATGGAATATTATTCAGCCACAAAAAGGAGTAAGGTCCTGACATGGGCTGTTGCAGGCTGAACTTGGACAAGATTTTGCTAATTAAAAGAAGAAGCAATCACAGAAGACTCATACAAACTGCACAACTATGTTTCTAGAAAGCAGCAAACCCTGAGATGACAGGTAGTTTGCCAGGCACTGCAGGGAGGGGAATGACAAGCAGCTACCAATTAGTATAGGAGGTTTCTTCTGCAACAATAAGTAAGTTCTGGAAAAAAAAAAATCCAGATGATAGTTGTACAGTTTTGCAGATGGGCTGGAAACCACAGCTTGTGTACTTCAAAAGCATGGGTTTATAGTCCATGAATTGTGTCTGGATTTAAACCTCAGGCTCCCACGTGTGTGTAGCTCCTGTTGGTTCAGGGTCTCAGCAACATCAGGGCCTACTGGGTCAGAGGCTCCCTCAGGTCAGGGGTCAGATTCCAGGAGCAGTGTGTCTTCTGAGGGGTACTGCTGCCTGGACAATGGGGGAGGCTTCCGCAGGAAGTGAGGCCTGGGAGGACAGGAGGCCCAGGGGAACTGCATCAAATAGTGGGCGGAGTCCCACCAGACTGGACTTCCTGGCTCCACTCTGGGAGTCAGGAGATACCTTTGAAGAGGCTCAGCTTGCCTCTGGGTGCAGTGGCACAGATGAGACAAGGTGAGAAAGGTCACTACAGGCTTAGCAGGGCCTCAGCATCCCACTTGGCTTCTGGTGTCCAGGAAGAAGTGATGAGCTGAGCTCAGGGAGTTCTTTATGCACTGGCCAGTGACAGAGGTGGTGGCATGATCTGGGGCCTGGGCTGGCCTACCCTGTGACTCCATCAGGAATGCCCTGTGGGGTTGGTGTCTCTTCCAAGGCATACCCAGGAAGGGCCTGACGCCTTGGCTGTGGGCTGAACCTTGATCCTGCACCTGCTTGCAGACAGAGCTGGATGGATTCAGGCCCAAACTCAAGACTCCAAAGTCCCCACCATCTCACTCCCATGGGCCTACAGTTGGTTGGGAAACTGTGTGCTTTCTTCTGGTGGCTGGCTAAGGGATAGGTAACTCTTCCTTACAGGGACAGAGGTTCAAACTGGGGTCAGAGCGAAGATGTCACTTAGGTGCACCGCAGGAGTGATCTGACCAGTGTGGCACCAGGGACACCCCGACTCTGGAAGTGAGATCCTTTCCTGCCTTCAAATCAGAAGTCAGGGTAGCTGAAAATAATTCCATTCAGACTCTTGTAGACCCTTAAAGTCCCTTCCCCAAAACACCTTGGGTTCTGGGATCTACAGAACATGAATTAGGTCTGTTCTCTGGAATGTCACTGGCTCCCTGGTTGTCCATCCCACAGGGCCAGCGGGCGAGGAGCCCCCAACACCAGACAAGACTACAATGTGTGCAGAAGACATGGCTGGAGGGGACGCCAGCCCAACCCCTCGGGACTCGCGCCCCAGTGTGTTCCACAACATAAAGGTAGCTCTTGGACCTGGCAGGGGCAGGGGCCAGACCTCAGGGCCCTGCAGGACAGGCTGTGCCACATGCCAGCTGTACAATGCAGAGCAAGATGCTGCCTTCTCCCAGCCTCACTTTCCCCCTGTAGAATGGGTGACTATGAGGATCAGAAAGGTGGCCTACAAAAGCACTTAGCTTGGCTTCAGATACTCCAAAGGTACCCATGTGCGTCCTCTCTGTGGGCCACCGAGTGGGGTGGAGGGCAGGAATCCCCAGGGATCCCAATCCTGTGTAAAGATGAGGGCGTTCTGGCGCACCCAGTGTGGCCATCCTTGGGGGGCCCGCCTGGTTCCAGGTGCTTCACTATCAGCTTGGGAGGTAGAGGCCTCTGTATACAGATGAGAAAACCCAAACTCAGAAGGATCCCTGGGAGTGGACTAATTTCCATAGTCAGGAAGCCAGATTTTCTTCTCTGGGGAACTTGACCAAGTCTCTAGGCAGCCTGGGAACTGTTGCCGGGGTGGGGGTGGGGGGACAGCTGTGTGCAAGTGGCCTCACAGAGGACATCTCTGTGGTGCTAGGAAGAGAACTAGGTAAATCTGGGGTCACTCCCTGGAGGAAGCCACAGGGAGGAAGACCCAGTCCAGGCCAGAGGGGAGCTCTAAGGGTCAGAGGGGGCTGCCCCCATCTTAAGCCCCAGGAAGCCCTTACCCTCAGGTGGGTCTTTGGAGGCTTGCATGGAAAGCCATGGGCTTGCCAAGTGACTCCTCCTCCCTGTCTGCCTGTCTCCTCTGACTTTCCCCTCCCCTGTCTCACCACTCCCTGGAACAGTTCTTCGTCCTGTGCCACAGCCTGCTGCAGCTGGCACAGCTCATGATGTCCAGCTACCTCAAGAGCTCCATCTCAACCGTGGAGAAGCGCTTCGGCCTCTCCAGCCAGACCTCAGGGCTGCTGGCTGCCTTCAACGAGGTACCAGCCCCAGCCCAGTGCCCTCAGACAGCCCCTGTCATGGTTTCCTCCCCTGGAGCCTCCCCAGCCTGCTCCTGTCAAGGTATCTGAGCCAATCAGGAAGGAATGCATGAGCAGCTTTGGGTGGATTTGGAGATCTGAGTCCAGCTGTGCCCCAGCCCCTGCCCCTCCCCGACCAGCTGTGTTCTCCCCTTCCTAGGACAGACTGCTGTGAATCCCTTCTCCAAGGCCTACAGGTTGTAGAGCATCCCCAGATGCTCTGTAGAACACCTCCTACATACACACCACCATGGCCAGATCTCTGGATCAAGAAGGAAGGACCTTATTAACTGTGGGCCTCAGGGTCCCGTCTATAGAGATTGTATCATCCCCACCAGTCCCAGCAAGGAGCCTGGGTGGGGTCACCCCTGGTTGTTAGCCTGTGTACTCCCAGGTTGTGCCAGCACAGCCACCCCTGCCCTGCATCACTCACCTTCCAGTACTGCTATTCTGAGGCCTGAGCTACCCAGTCTTAATCCTCAGGCTATCCCTTTCATCCATGACATGCATGACCCTCAGGACCCCTTTGCATCCCTGCCAGGGAGACCCCTGGCTGAACCTGACCTGGTTTTGCCCACTCTCCCCTCCTAAGGCAGTGGTAGCTAGTTACACAGATGGGGATACTATGGCAGACCACAGGGCCGAGAGATGGTGCAGGTTCCCCTGTGACAGGCCCCCTCATTCCCCTGCAGGTGGGAAATACAACCTTGATTGTCTTCGTGAGCTATTTCGGCAGCCGGGTACACCGGCCCCGGCTAATCGGCTGTGGGGCTGTCCTGGTGACTCTGGCCGGCCTGCTCATGACTCTCCCACACTTCCTCTCAGAGCCGTACCGCTACGAACACAGCAGCCCCGGTAAGAACTCAAGGAACTGGGCAGGAGCCCAACATGGGGAGTTGTATTACCATGCAGCCTGGTCCACCCTTAGGCCTTGAGATAAGCCAATTGAGTCCAGGCTTCTTAGGATTCTGCTAGCCCTTCCTGCTCTACCCCCTACCTCTTCCTGAGCCCCAACCCCAGGTTGGTCTCTCTGGAGAGCAGAGGCAGAGGGGTACAGTTCTTGGGCAGGGGGAGGAGGCCTCCCTGGATGTCACTGAGGTTTTAGAGGGATGTCGGTGGGTTTAGAGCACAGTTTTCTTTAGAGTACAACATGTAGCAGAGCTTATAAAATGCTTATAGGAAGATAGCAGCATCACATCCTGCTCATGAGCCAAGTGTTGATGCACATAGTCAACAAAAATTTGGCTGCAGTGGCACAGATGAGCTATGGTGAGAAAGGTCACAATAGGCTTAGCAGGGCCTCAGCATCCCACTTGGCCTCTGGTGTCCAGGAAGAAGTGATGAGCTGAGCTCAGGGGGTTCTTTATGCACTGGCCGGTGACAGGGGTGGTGGCATGATCTGGGGCCTGGGCTGACCTACCCTGTGACTCCATCAGGAATGCCCTGTGGGGTTGGTGTCTCTTCCAAGGCATACCCAGGAAGGGCCTGATGTCACAGTCAAAATTGAAGACATTCATGAAATAAGGGATGAAAGTGTAAATGAAATAATGTTTAAAAGGAGAGACTATTAGGAATAGTGAAGCCCTATCCAGTCTGTGGGATTTTGTTAAGGGTATGCTTGATGCATGTCCTTTAGACAGCGATCCAAGCCACTTGAGAATTTTCCTTGTTCTTCCTCTCTTCTATTTATCCATCTACCCACCCATCTGTCTGTTTATCTTTCCATCCACCCATCCGTCAATCATCCAATGATCCAGCCATCCAATCATCCACACTTTTATCAACCTTCCAATCACCCATCCATCCATCCATCCATCTAATCTTTCATCTATTCATTCATCCATCCATCCAACCTTCCCTTTATCTATCCATCTAAGGGTTCACCCAATAAACACTTAATGCTGTCTATTTTGTGCCTGATCCTCACAATAGATTCAGTCCTTGACTCTAGTTCCAAGTCTGAGAAAGGAGGTGAAAAACTAATAATAATGATAATAATAATAATAAACAGTAAAAAGGGAACCTCAGGGATAGGTGCCAAGGGAAGGATCCCCTGGCCTAGCCTGGTATGGGGAAGGCTTCCCGGCAGAAGACCTGATAGGGATGACAGTTCCTCCCTCACTCTCCCATTATCTCCGACCACGGGAGGCCTGGAATGCCAGGACCAGGGAATGGGAAGATGAAGCAGCTGTGCCCCAATGCAGTGCAACACTGGGATGAGTATGCGCAGCTTTGCTAGAGTCCAGCACCTAGGTAATGGCCAGAGGGAGGCTGGAGAGATGCCGAACAGGGGCAGGACTATGGCAGCTGCAGAAAGCCAGAGGGAGCTGGAGGAGGTTGGTAGGAAGGAGACAGTGCAGGTGAAGGGGCGGGGCCAGAGCCATGCAAACGGCAGAGTGGGCATAAAGTCTACAGTCATTATCTCAGTCTAAGCCAAGCATTATCGAGAAGACTGTTGCTTAGAATGCCCCCAAATAATATTTGCTGACATTTTTGCATCCAGAGCTTTCGCTTTCACATAGTGTTTCTGCAGCAAGTCCCACATGTTCATCTTTATCTTCACTGCATACTGCACCTGACCCTGACTGCAGCTCCCTATGAAACCCCAGGAAGACCCTTCTCCTGCCTGAGGTATAGCCCAAAATGAAGGCGAGACTCGGTGGCCTCTGAGCCCCCTCCTGCTCTGCCACCCAGGCCAACTCATCCATTCTTACTGCACCCAATGTCCATGGGACTCTATTGTGTGCCAAGCCTTCCACCCAATGTCCATGGGGCTCTATTGTGTGCCAAGCCCTCCGCGAGGCACTGGAGAGTAGAAGCAGCCACCATCCCTAGAGTAATGACAGGAGCTGATGTTTAGGGGGTGCTGTGTAGGGTGATGTTCGTGAGAATGAGGGCAGCCAAGGCCTCCCATGTGAGCACACTCAGGAGAAGGGAGGCACATCCCAAGCCAGCTGACCGCAGGAGGATGACCTAGCCGGGCAGCCCTGCCCACAGCCCTATTTCAGCATGCTGACTCTCTGCTTCTAAATCCCTTAGCTCTGAGAATGCCCATGCCCTGAGAGATGAGAAAACTCAAGCCCAGAGAGGGTAAAGATCACTGTCCCAGTCATACAGTTTCTGGAGTCCATGTTGAAGGCCTGAGTCCAGGTTTATGACCTTGGTTCTCATGGCTTGTTCAATCTGAGGGAGTGGCTGTCTGGAATGAGTTATGCCAGCCCAGAGTCCCATAAAGGGAAAGCCATGGAGAAAAGCCCTCACTGACAACTATCCTGGGATAATAATAGTGTGAGGGTCTCCTCCTATTTGCTCACCAAATACGAGGCAGCTACAGAGACTAAATTAGTTCTGCAGCTGTGACCCAAGCTAACACAGAACCTCCCCAGAATGAAAACCCCATGATCCAGCCCCAGCTTCCTGTCCCTTTAGCCCTGACCCAGTCCCATCCTGAACACCTCCTACCAACACAGTACCCTTTTACAGTCTTAGGTTTTGCCTGTTGCATGACCTTTCTCTCTCTGGAATGTGCCTTCTCTCTCTCTCTGTCTCCCAAATTCTGTTTGTTCTAAACCTGGGTCATATTCTATCTGCTCTGACTGCCCCACCCCATGCAGGAGCCACCATAACTAGGGTACTTTCAAATGCCTGTGCCCATAGAGGTGGCACCTGGGACAGCTGAAGAGCATGGAGTTGCAGTCAGAACACCTTGACTTGGCTCATTGCTATTGGAGCACCAGTTTTCTCATCTGTGAAACAGGAATCACAATGTCACCCATGGCAGGCTTCAGACAGGTCCTTGCACAGCTACATGCCATACAGGCCTTGGCTGTGGTCACAGCTTCAGTTGTCATCTCTCAGAGGATACTTCTCAGGATTTCAAGCCTTCCCTGTGCCTGCCCACGATGCCTGCCCCGGCCCTAGCCTCCTCCAATGGCACCTGCTCCAGCTACACTGAGACCCGGCATCTGACCACGGTGGGGATCATGCTCACGGCACAGACCCTGCTGGGTGTGGGCGGGGTGCCCATCCAGCCTTTCGGCATCTCCTACATCGATGACTTCGCCCACCACAGCAACTCACCCCTGTACCTCGGTGAGAATCTGCCCCTTGTCCTCCTAGTAGGAGCAGGAGAGGCTGGGTATGGGAGCTGGGTGAAGAAGCTGCTCTCCTCTACCCTATACAGCTAATAAAGGCCTAGAGATGCCCTTGAGAGCACCTGGCATGGACCTGGTGGGGGGTGGGAGTGGCATGCAACTGCATTGGGAGCCCAGGGCCAAACCCCTCACCTAGGCCTGTGTTGCAGGGATCCTGTTTGCAGTGACCATGATGGGACCAAGCATGTCCTTCGGGCTGGGCAGCCTCATGCTGCGCCTTTACGTGGACATTGACCGGATGCCAGAAGGTGAGCCTTGGGTGCCCGTCTCTGTCCACTGAGGCAGACAGCCACTAGCTAACTGCCCCAAGTCTCACAGGGGATATGGAGCAGCCTGGGGCCTGAATTCAACTCCCAGCATCACCACTGGCCTCAGAAAAGACCTCTTAGGTTCCCTGTTCCTCGGTTTTCTCATCTTGGAACTCACCTCCACCTTGGCCACAACTGTGCTCAAGCCCTGTGGTGGTACTGGGGGTGGACAATAAGGTGCTGTCCCACAGTGAGGTAACCACTGCCCATGCTATCATGACAGGACTCCACCTGGTCTCACTGTCACCCTCTGTCAGGTCCTCAGGGGTGCTCACCTATGTCATGGGAGACAAGCTTCCTAGACCCACAGAGGAAACAGAAGGGAGCAGGAGCTGGTAATGCCCTGTCCCATATGGGGAGAGCTTCCCACAGGTTCTAGGGGCCGCAGGTGCCAGGAAAAGCTATATTGACTTTCTCAGGCTTTGGTCCAAGTATGTCCCCAGCCAAGAGTGAGTCCAGTGACTCAGTGCCATGGTCACCAGGGATGGGCTGTCCCATCTCCATTCTTCCAAGGAAGCTGGGCCCAGGAACCAAGTCTGGGTCCCATTGCAACATCTCCTTCTTCCCAGGAAGTAGAGCTTCTGGAAGCCAAGGGTTCCTCAGGTCTCCAAGACAGACACACCTATGCCATGGGCAGATGTGTGGCTTTGGACTTTTGCCATTGGCCCGGCAGATGTGACGACTTTCTGCCACCTCTCAGGTTTCTCTGTTGGGTATTCCATAGAGTGGGCGGCTCAGGCCTGTTGCAGGCATGGACAGGTGTGTGTGTGTGTGTGTATGCAAAGTAGAGGGTTTGGGAAGGGACCTGGATGAGCCCTCCTCAGCCTGGCCCAGAGGCAGATCATAAAAGTAAGAGACAGATTCAAGTCATGTCAGTGCAAAGGCTAGACCCATGGCCGGCATTGCAGAGGCTTGCGATGAATGTTAGCTGTGTGCCCTGCTCCCAGGCCAGTTGTGGTTTAGGCTTGAGTACCTGGGGAACCTATACTACATACACACACACACACACACACACACACACACACACACACACACACACAGTGTGGATGCTGCCATCCAGGATAGTCCAATCCTCATTAAACCTGGTGAGAGATGAGGTGAGAGTCACTTAGGGAACTTGGCAAGGGGCCATTCTTTGGTCATCTGCCCAGCTGGTCCTGCAGGCATCCTAAGTGGATCTTCTATAGATACTGATGACAAACACTCCTGCTTAGATTAGTGAGCAGCCAAGTCCGAGAACTGCATCAGTGGTTCTATTACCACTCCACTAGTCATCATAACAGTAACATAGCCAGCATCCACATAGCCCAACTCTGCTACGCATTTCACATGTGTTTTTTCCATCCTCCTTACCACTCCCAGTTGATGCAGGAACTATTAATATCTACATCTCACTGAGGAAAAAACTGGGGCACAAGGAAACTGAACGCCTTGCCCAAGGTTGTAAGTAAGCCACAGAATTCAGACTCATTAACCCAGCCTGACACCCATGACCTTGATCCATATGCTACACTGCCTCAGTAGGTTGAAAGAACCAAGGTCCATTGTCACACAGGCTGCAGGTGACAGGGCTAAGATCAAAACTCAGTTCTCCAGACTCCAGGCCCAGGCCACCCAATGTCTCCAGGGGCCCCAGGGTGGGTGATATCTGAGGAGTAAAACCCACTTTGACCATAACCTCACTGTGGCCTTCTCTTCCAGGTGGCATCAATCTGACCCAGAAGGACCCCCGCTGGGTGGGTGCCTGGTGGCTGGGCTTCCTCATCTCAGCAGGCGCTGTAGCCCTGGCTGCCCTCCCCTACTTCTTCTTCCCCAGGGAGATGCCCAAGGAGAAGCATGAGCTTCACTTTCGGAGAAAGGTTTCAGCAGCTACAGCATCACCTGCCAGCCAGGTAAGGTTGTCCTTGCTGCAGTGTGGTCTCCAGCCTCCACCCACATGCCCTCCTTGATCACAGTGTTACCCTCCTGGACGCTGAGCTCACCAGCTGGCCAGGCAACAAGATAACTCCAGAACTCAGGCCTCCCCATTCTTCAGGGATCCCAAAAACATGAGCTCTGAAAAGCGACCCCTTGGCTCTGGATCATAAAGAAAGTAACCAGAGTTGTTTTCTAGAAGTTTAACTTCATGTCATTTTCCTCAATGTCATTTATGTTTCTTTAATGTTCAAATACGTATCCCCTTCGCTTCTGAAAAATGTGTGCTTAGAGGTACCTGCCAAGGAATCACAGATAACCAGGAATACTTGGGCTAAACAATTCTCATTTCAAAATACATTTCAAAAGATTCTGCTGAATATTTTCCATCATGAAGGATCCTGTTGATGGTGCTGGACTGATGCCTTTGAATGTTGGCTGTCATGCGGATGGGCCTGCCTTAGAACAAGCAAAGCTGAGCTTAAGGGGTGGGTCAGGGCTGATGATGGTTCTGCCCAGAAACGCTGGGAGTGGAGCCTGAGTCTGTCTGAAGCCCAGGCCTGCTGCCCAAAGGAAACAGCACTCAGCAGCAATGGGTATGCCCATGGGGGCAGTGACTTAAAAAAAAAAAATGACAATCTAGAACAACAAAGGTCTTGGCTGCTTCCAGGCTGGTGGTTAGTCCCTGGAGGAGGAGGAGTGTGCAGAGAATGCCATGGCTCCACTGCCAGATGCCAGGCAGAAAAAAGGATGATGAAGCAGGAGACAGATGTGCTGACAGGGAGCTAGGGAGGCTGCCTCCATGGTGGGCCAGGCAGACAGTGGAGTGGCTTCTGAGAGGGGATGGGGTTGAATTCAGGAGCCAGCAGGGGTGTGCACAGATGTGCCTGCCTGCTACAGGGTGTAGCAGAGGCAGTAGAGGGTTGGCTCATGTTGGGCATGGGCAGGGCAGGTTCAGAGGCCACGGGAAGCAGGTGCTGGGGGCTGAGGGCTCAAGTTCAGAGAAAGAAGACAGCTTGGGACTCCAGATGTTCTTTCCCAAATCTGCATAGCTAAGGCCCAAATTTGGATGAGATGGAATTCTCGGAACGTAGGGAAGAGTTCTCGGAAATGAGGGTGATCTCGCAGAGGCAGGCCAGGGGAGCCTGGGTTGCTGGTTATGGATCAACTCCCAGTGGGGAGTTGAATTTTAAAGAGAAGCAGGCCAGCTGGGCAGTGGGGGAAAGTAGGTGGAAGAAGCAAGGACTGGGGGTGGGGAGAGGAAGACTGTGACCTTCCCAGCAAGTCATTTCCCCACTCAGCACTGTGTTGCCAGGTGCCAAGGTCAAATTCCTGGAGCAGGAAGCAGGGTCCAGTGCACCTCAGATTGTGGATTGTGAGGGTACAGGGTCCCTTGCAGCTACAGCCATTCAGCAATTCCCCAAGCCCTGCAAGGGTGGGCAGAGCCTTAAGAGCATTGTCTCTGATTCATTGAAACCCTGACTGCCTGGCTGGGGACCTGTCTGGCTGTCTACATTTCTTGTTAGCACAAGAAGGGAAGAGTGCAGGGACAAGGAGGTGAGAGGCTCTTGGGGGTTAGGTGGGGACAGTAAAAGCTGAAAACATGGCAGCTGGTCAGCTTTCCGCAGTTCCCAGGCAATAAATATTGAAGGGGAGGAGCCGTTACCCACGTCCTGCTGGCTGCTTGCAGTGGGGGTGATGCTGCTGGCCCCACCACCAGGGAGGGGCTGGAGTCTGAGTGGCTAACCAGGCTGGGTACTCCTACAAGGAGAAAGATTGAGCAAGGGGGAAATGTGGGCCGGTCTGTTTCAGGCACTGCCTCCTGGGCTCAAGGCTCAGCAGTCTCCTTCCTAGAAGTAAATGCAATCTTGGAAGCTAACCAGGTGATTCTGATAAGGGTTTTGTGATTGAAAAACGAGAAAAGAAAAGAAAGGAAAAGGAAAAGGAAAAGGAAAAGGAAAGGAAAGGAAAGGAAAGGAAAGGAAAGGAAAGGAAAGGAAAGGAAAGGAAAGGAAAGGAAAGAAAGGAAAGGAAAGGAAAGGAAAAGGAAAGGAAAGGAAAGGAAAGGAAAGGAAAGGAAAGGAAAGGAAAGGAAAGGAAAGGAAAGGAAAGGAAAGAAAGGAAAGGAAAGGAAAGGAAAGGAAAGGAAAGGAAAGGAAAGGAAAGGAAAGGAAAGGAAAGGAAAGGAAAGGAAAGGAAAGGAAAGGAAAGGAAAGAAGAAAATCTCTGCCCTCAGTCTCCCTATCTGTATAATGGTGGCATTTGGGGCCAGGTCTACCTGCCCTGACTTTCTCAGTGCCGCCCGGTCTCTGCAGCAGTATCTGAGCATTTCCACTGTGTCTTTGTATGTGTGTCAAACCACTCTGCCCTTTTGGAGATCAGTCCTTGGGGATGGGTCAGGGACTGAGACAGATCCCTCCTCAAAGGACTCCATTCCTGAGCAGCCTCCAAGTCCTACTGGACTCCATGATCTCCTCTTGGGTCACTTTCCCAGGGCCGAGCTGAAGCTGTTGGGCCCTCAGACCCATGGTTTTAGAATCTTGACTGCTAAGGTGTAGAGATCCTCAATGTTTATATTCTAAGATCCCAGGCCTCACATGGTATGGGACTCTCCAGATCCACCTTCCTCACTGGCTATGGTTTTAACCAGGAGTCTGTTTTCAGTAGTTAGCCCCAATGATCAGGGAACACTATCATACACAATGCCATAGGTCCGTGTGCTTGCTTCTGATGTCTAACTGCAGTTCTGCATCCTTTGACTAACATCTCCAATCTCCCCTCCACTCACACCCTTTACCTTGCCCCAAACACCCTCCTCCTTGGTTTTTGGGATTTCAACATTCTTAGATTTCACAGAGCAATGAGGTCACAAGCATTTATCTATCTGTACCTGGCTTATTGAGCTTAGCATCATGTCTCCTGGGCCCATCCATATTGTCACACATGACAGAATTTCCTTCTTTCCCACGGCTGAGTAGTGTCCACTTGTGCATAAGCAAGGGTACATTTAAAAGTCCTGGAAAGCTGGAATTTGAGGGGCAAGCATTGGGTCTTGCGGTTAAGACACCATGTTAGGAGACCTGAGTGTGAAGCCCAGCTCTGGCTCCTGATACAGCTGCCTGCCCATGCAGAGCCTAGGCAACAGTAGTGAAGAGCTGAGTAACTGCGCTCTCGCCCCTCACCAAGGAGACCTGAGCTGATTCCTGGCTCCTGGTGTCACCTTTGACCCAGCTCCAGCCATTGTGGGCACTTGAGGAGTGAACCAGAGACTAGAAGCTGTCTCTCTTTCAATCTCTCTGTAGCTTTGCCTCTCGAATCACTAAACATTAGTAAAATTTCTAAAAGATTTATTTCTTTTTATTACAAAGTCAGATATACAGAGAGGAGAAGAGACAGAGAGGAAGATCTTCTGTCTAATGATTCACTCCCCAAGTGACTGCAACAGCCGGTGCTGTGCTGATCTCAAGCCAGGAGCCCAGATCCTCTTCCGGGTCTCCCATGTGGGTGCAGGGTCCCAAGGCTTTGGGCCATCCTCGACTGCTTTCCCAGGCCACAAGCAGGGAGCTGGATGGGAAATGGGATTGCCGGGATTAGAACCGGTGTTCATATGGGATCCTGGCGAGTTCAAGGCGAGTACTTTACCCACTAGGCCACGGCGCCGGCCCCAGTAATAAATTTTTAAAAGAAAAGTTTATTTTGGAGCAACAAAAATTTTTAAACAATGCATTGTATTTTCATAATAGACATTCCCATGAACTCTTTGATACTTCCTTGTATGCATGAATCTCAAAAATGTTTACATTGAAATAAACTTTTGAAACTATTTTCCATGAACTTTTAAAAGGACCCTTGCAGATCCTGTTTCCTTTATCCATGGGTGGATGGGCTCTTGGGTTATTTCCATGCCTTGGCTAGCGTGAGTAGTGCTGCAACAAACAAGGAAGTGTGCATGTCTGCTTGTCGGACTGATTTCATATTGTTTGGGCATGCATCCAAGAATGGAATTTCTGTTCTAGCATAAACTTTGTGAGGAACTTACATATGCCTTCCATAGTGGCTGTCCTAATTTACATCTCCACTAACAACATGGAAAGGATCCCCATCCTTGCCAGCACTCATCATTTACCATCTTCTCTACAAGATTCCTCTGATAGGAGTGAGGGGAGGGCGTGCTGTAGTTTTGTATGCTTTTCTCCATCCCATCTCTGTTATGTTCCATGGAAGGCTCCAGAAAGCTCATACAAAGCACAGGTTCAATGCTAATAAAATAGTAGGAGCTAGGGTGAGGTTGATGACTTATGCTGGGCTGTGCACTGGCCTATGATCCTGTGCTTCTTATCCCATGTAATCCTCATAAATCCCAACTGCCAGTCAGGGGCACTTATCACCCCATTTTATTTTTATTTTTTTAATTTTTGACAATCTTTACATAGTTAATTAGGGCACAAAGGTTCAAGGGAAATAAGACTATTATTTTCACTTTTCTTTTTTTCTGTATCTGGGGTAAAGAGAGAGGTAAAGGAGAAGCCCCACCCAGTCTCCCACCCATCCCAGGTCTCTGATGTGGGGCATGCTCCGAGGGTCTTGCTCAAGTGGTTTTGGTAGTTCAACAGTTATGAATGCTACCAATCTCGCCATTCCAAGCATGATGTAGTCATTGCAGAATCCACTGATTGACATAGTCCACCTTAGAGTCTCCATTTGCCCAGTTTTTCACTGTCAACATATGGCTGGGGTAGTTGATTGATCTGTTCTGTCCTCTGTTGTGGTACCAGGTATCCTCTGCATATTCCGATAGACTGCCATATTCTCCATGTGCACCTGGTTATGTTCTCCGCTGCTCTGTCTGAGCCTCTGAGGAGGCTGGCTCTGGCACTGGCACTCCATGACAGACCATGGAATCTGCACTTCTCTTCATGGTTAGGGTTCTGAGTCCAGCAGTTTGATTGGGGAGGTCCCCAAAGAAACATTGTCTGAT